ACCCACAGCTGTCTAACATCTCCAAAACAAAACCAAGACCAAAGTTTGTGTTACCTGCGAGGGGTGGTCCAGCCAACCCAGCTAAGCTTTGAATGAAGACATAGACTCCAGCTGCAGAGGACATCCTCTCAATGCCAACCACGTCGTCTTCAGCCAGGAGGGGAATATGTGTGCCCGCCACCGTGCCGAGCATGAACCCAAAATAAACGCTACATATCATCAAGCCCCAGAATCCAGAGGCAAAAGGGAAGGCAACCAAGGCTACAGACAGCAGGATGACGCAGATGAGCTCGATGTAGATCTTGCGGATGGGCTTCTTGTTGAGGATCCAGCCTGCAAAAATCCTGCCGAAGACCTCGGCGATGGCCATGGCCGACAGGATGTAGGCAGAGTGGTCCTTGCCGATGCCCAGGCTGCGGCTCAGGGGGATGATGTAGAGGGAGGGAGCGAAGAAGCCCAGGGTTGCAAACAGGCCAAAGAATGCATAACAGATAAAGCTATAGTCTCTCATCACAGAGAAGTCCAGTAGTTTGGTTTTTGGTGCTGGAGGGGTGCTGCTATTGTCAACGGGGTTCTGTCCGTGTTGCTTTGGTTCTTCACTTTTCGGCTCTGCTTTGGTTTTTCCAGGCACATTGCTGGGTGAGGTAGTTATATCGACTCCTGAGTCTATGGACTCGATTGAGGTGCATGTTTGTTCGTTTTCAAGCATGTACTTTGTCTCTGTGGACTCCTCTGGAGGCTGTGCTTTCACTTCTTCCTGCTCTCTGATGACGATGGGGCGCAGCAGCGAGCCGCAGGCGGTGATGCCCAGCTGCAGCACCCCGACAGAAAGCATGCTGTACCTCCAGCCAATCTGCTCCTTCAGGGCCGTGATTGCTGGGGGAAGAGGAGAAGTGTAACTGGGAAAGCCTGTAGTCACACCAAGGAATTGAATTTACAGCCAGGGAAGGGAGTGGAGATTCTGCACTGGAGGGTTCTGGCTGCCTCTCAGAAAGGCTGAGTAGGGGTCCCTCCACCCTGGGGTCTGGCACCCAAATTCCTCCCCTCTGCTGCAGCAGACAGAAGCGAAAAGCTGTGGCTTTTACCACCTGCTAGCAGATGCCACTCTCTAGAAAACCTTTTTTGAGGTCTCAGCAGGTCTGGGGACAAAGGGGTGTTGTTTCCTGTGAAGAGGGCAAACTCAGTGCTTAAGTGCCCTTCCTCAGCTGCCCCCATCCTGAAACCAGCCAGCAGAGGAAGTCTCTCAGCTCTGCTCAAAGGTGCACGTCACTGCCTAATTACCAGCCCTCCTTTGCACCCAAAGCAGCTTTGCAGTGAGGATTAGCCCAGAGCACACGAGCACAGCACACCACATAAACCTCCACGGGCAGAGGTGACAGGGCTGTGACGCCTGGGCACAGCTCCCCAAAAGGCTGCAGCTCTTTGGCAGCCCGTGCTGAGCACAAGCCCAGTAACCTTTAGGAGCAGTTCTGGGCACTGTGTGTTTTAAATAGCTGAAGTTTCTCGGGCTTATTTTTAGCCCTGCCAGATCTATATAGGGAGGCTGGCGGGCTGCGTATCAGCCAGGCATGTCCTGCACTGGCACATGGCACCGGGGGGGCTCAGGGAGTGTCACACACGTCCCTGGCACTGCTGTCACTCTGTCTGCTACAGGCATGTGAGCAACCACTTGTGGGCACTGAGTTGGCCTCTGGCTGTTTGCTTGGGGAAAGGATTTGTGCTTTTGGCCCTCCCAGCACGTGGGCACCGTACCTGGTGCGAAGGAGAAGACGGCGAAACATTCCCCTGTGGATGCCACCGCTGTGACCAGCGAGCGCCTTTTGTCAAAATACTGTGATAAAATGGTGACAGTCGGGAGGAAGGAGAGGCAGTATCCCAGGCCTGTGAATAAATGCCAAAAATTGCCATAACAACAAGTAAAGGAGGGGGAAACACCGATGCAAGAACACGTTAAGTCGGCTTTCCCGGCGGTCATTACAGAATCATTTCGGCCAACTCAGCAAGTCACCCTGGAAGAAAATCATTGGGGAAACCAGAATGTTATTTTTTTGTAATTTGGAAGGGGGAAAAGAAAAGAAGAAAAAAAGAAAAAAGGAGAGTAAAAACCCAAACCAAGAGACCCAGCCTCCCAAACCTGCTAGATAATGCAAATGGACCTCCAGTGGGGTCCACTTTGAGGACCTCATTATGCTTAAAGTATTTGAGCCTGTAGCAACTGTTCCCCTAAGCAAGGCAAGCTCCTGGCCATGGACATCAACAGAACACCCAGGGCAGGCTGGAGAGGGGGAAAAGCATCAGGAGAAGAAACCAGAGACAGAGGCAGCGTTAGAGGATTTGATCCCGGGTGCAGCTTTGCCCTTCTCTGAGCTTTGCTCAGCTCACCAGAAGCCACCGGTGCCGCTGCACGAGCTCAGGGCCGAGCCCAGGGCGGTGCCCGGGGTGGCACAGGCACAAAGCCGAGCCTGGGGCCCATCCTCGCTGCGGGATCGGCTCAGGAGGGGCAGCAGCACGGGGGACAGGAGGGTGGCTCACCGGAGACGATGCCGATGGTGACGTACATGTGCACCACGCTGCGGGCGAAGGACGCGATGACCATGCCAGCGCTGACCAGCAGCCCCCCGGCCATCACCACCAGCCGGTGGCCGAAGCGGTTGCTCAGGACCGTCGACAGAGGAGCTGCAGAGGGAGAGCGACGTGGTCAGCACCCACCTCAGCAACTTCACAGCCACCACCTCCTGCAGAGCTCTCCTCATGCTCCTGCCTGGGTTCCCTGAGGTGCCACCTCCCTGCATGGCACAGCATCACCCTGGAGCCACCCTCAGGGCACAGCTCACAGCATTTAGGACATGCTAAAAATCACCAGAACACACGCGGCAGCCTGGGACAAATCTCCAGCCACATGCCTGGTACCACTGAATTTTACCAAGGCTCAAGTTACTTTGAGTTTGGTTTGAAAACTCTGGGTTTTGCCCCTTGCTGGCAGCCTGGGACAAATCTCCAGCCACATGCCCACTGGATTTCAGCAAGACTCAAGTTATTTCTAATCCTTTTCACTGCAGAGTTTTGTTTGAACACTCTGGGTGTTGCCCCTTGCTGGTGGGACCTGAACAACTGGGTCAGGCTCAGTGACATGGACCATGTCCCTGCACCACCCACAGACTCAAAGGGCTCAAAGGGACTGCCAGGCTGAGACAGACATTCCTTGGCATTTGAGGAGCAGCCTCTGAGCTTTATGGCTGTGATTTAATTTATAATGGAGCCATTAGAGGCACAAAAGTCACAGGTGCCAGGTCCTTGCGTGCTGAGTCAGCAGCAGGGCTGCCCCTTGCACCCGGACCGAGCGCCCGCTCCTCTTACCTGTGAAGGTCTGTACAAACACACAGATGGATATTATCCAGGATATCCTGCTGTTGGTTTCGTCAAAGCTGTCCATCAGGTCGTTGAAGAAGACTCCAAAGGATTTTATGATGCCGTATGTCAGGGCTTCCACAACAAAGAACGCAAAGGCGACCGTCCAGCCCCATCCTCCGTCAGGCACTTTAGTATAAACGTTTGCAGAGGTGCACGGCATCTTTACAGCTTTGACCGTCATTTTGGATCTGGGAAAAGAGGGGACAGGCAGCCAGGCATCAGTTGAAGCTGAATTTTGCTGGGAGAGGCACAGCCTGAGAGCTGTAGCACCCTAAGGCACCGCGAGCTGGACCAAGTGTGGGAGCTGGGCTGGTGTTTCTGCCTCTGTCCCTCCTTGCTGCTGCTGCCCTGTGAGCCCAGCACCAGAAACTCCCAGCTCAGCACCCGGGCTGGCTGTTCCCAGCAGCCAAGCCCGGGAGCTGGGAGCTGTCATCTGCCTGTGGTGCACGGGGGCGGATGGATGCAGTTCGTGAAAGATCCACCGCGGGCTGCTGGAGCCGCAGGAGCCCCGGGCACCCATCGTCCCCAGCCTGGCTGGCCCCAAAACTGCAGCACAGGGCTGCCCACACCTCAAAATGGGGAGTGGGGACACCCCCGCTATCACCAGCTCCCCTGCAGTCCTTGGCACCACTGCCACCCCGCTGGACGGGATCACCCCGTAAGATATGGGGTGTCCTCAGCCTTGCCCCGTGTCAGCCGGGGCTGTGGGTCCCACATGGAGCTGCCCACGGAACCCCAGCACTGCACGGGGGGACAGCACCAGTGTCACACACCGGGGGAGGACACTGTGCTGGGGTCACCGCCACAGCCACACAATGGGGACAATGTCAGGGTTACAGTCCTGGGCTCACTGCCACACCTGCAGAGGGTCCCCCTGTGCTGGGGCCAGCATCACACCTGGGCAGGGGGACAAGGGCCAGGTCACTGCCACACCTGCGTGGGGGGAGCATGGAGCCGAGGCCACTGCAGCACCACACCTGGGCAGGGGGACAAGTGCCCCGGCACAGGGGGACAGTGACAGAATCACCTGCAGTGGAGGGGTCGGTCCTGGCTCACTGCCACACCTGCAGGGGGGTCTGCTGTGCCACGGTCACCACCACACCTGTGCAGGGGACAGTGCCGGGGGTCACTGCCACACCTGTACAGGGGACAGTGCTGGGGTCACTGCCAAACCTGTGCGGGGGGATCACTGCCGCACTTGTAAAGGGGACAGTGCCGGGGATCATTGCCACACCTGTAAAGGGCACAGTGCCGGGGTCACCGCCACACCTGTACCGGGGACAGTGCCGGGGGTCACTGCCAAACCTGTGCGGGGATCACTGCCGCACCTGTACAGGGCACAGTGCCGGGGTCACCGCCTCACGCGCGCTGCGGGGGGACAGCGCCGGGGTCACGGCCCCACCCGCGTGGCGGTGCCGGTGCCGGTGCCGGAGCCAGCCCCGTGGGACACAGCGCGCCCAGCCCCGCTCGCTCCCGGCCGTGCACGGAGCGGTGCCCGCGGCGGCCGCCCCGTCCCGCCCGGACCTGCGGCTCCCCCCGCGCCGCCGCCGTGCCCGGCAGCCACCGGCATTTCCCTCCTCCATTTTAGACTCGGCTCCTCGGCCCCGCGCTCCGAGCCCACCGCGGAACTTGGCCCGGCGCAGCAGGCGAGTGAGTGCACGGGAGCCCGGCCGGGCTGCGAGCCCGCGCCGGGGGTCCCCGAGCGGGGCAGGGGGGGTCCCCAAACCCCGCAGCCCCCCGTGCGGTGCCGCACGGCTCCCGGGGGATCCGCTCCGCTCCGCCGGGGATGGATGGAGCGAGGCGGGGGCTCCGCATCCCTCCCTGCGCTGCCGCCCGCGCCCGGCTCTGCCGCAGCCGCGCAGGGCGAGGGGCGCGGGCGGGACCCCCGAACTTTGCGGGAAGTGCCGGGAGACCCCCCGAGAGATTTCCACCAATTCCTGTGTCACTGCAAGGGGAGAAAAAAGCAGATCGGGAGGAAGCACGCTTAGGGAGCAGAAAAAAAAAAAATAATGATAAGGGAAGGAAAAACAACCCAGCGAAACCGCAAACCTGGGCGTGTGTTTTGTACATTTAAAGATTAAAAGAAATAATGGTGGTCGGGGGAAAAATTGAAAATGAAGAAGCCGGAGCGCAGGGGCCCGGCGTGGCCCCCCCTTCCCTGCATCACTTTCCCAACATTTCAGCCCTGATTCCTGCATCGCCGGGGCCGCGGGCTAAAAATACAGGGATGCGGGCGAGGGGAGGTGGGGAAGGAAAACGCTGGAAAAAACGAAAAAATAACGTTAAAAAGCGCCCCAAAAGACGGGGAAAAAAAATTTAAAAGAAGGGAAACAAAGCCCTCCCCCACCCAGCTCCCCCGGAATGGCCGGGCGGGAGCCCCACTCACCCGGTGCTGCGGCGGGGTCAGGGGCTGCCCATGGCCCGGGAGGGCGAGCGGGCGACCCTCGGCGAGGAGGCGGCCCCGCTGCCCGCCGGCCTCCGGCCGCTGCTGCTCCCGCTGCCCGCGGCGGCGGCTGCTGCTGCTCGGTGCTCGCTCGCAGCCCTTTTATACCGGCTGGAGCCGGTCTCCGCCGGCGGCTCCGCAGCGCCCATGTGCGCGGCGCCGGGCCCGGCTCGCCCAGCGGCGGCACCGCGTGTGCGGGAGGGGCGGTGCAGGGGCGGCCCCGCGGGGTCCCGAGCATCCCCGGCAGCACCGCAAGCACCGCAGCCCCAGGCCCGCACCTGCCCCGCAGCCCCCACAGCCCCCGGCCCGCACCTGCCCCGCACGGGGCGCTCCGGCAGGTGCGGGGTCCGGGGTATTCCCGGGTGCGGGGTCTGGAGCACCCCCAGGGTGCGGGGGCTGGAACATCCCCAGGTGCGGGTCCAGGGTATTCCCGGGGTCCGGTGCATCCCCCGTGTGCGGGGTCTCGAGCACCCCCAGGGTGCGGGGTCTGGAGCATCCCCGCAATTCGGGGTCCGGGATATTCCTGCGGTGCGGGGTCCGGAGCACCCCCGGGTGCGGGATGAGGGGTCTGGAGCATCCCCGCAATGCGGGGTCCGCATCATCCCCGCAATTCGGGGTCCGGAGCATCCCCCGAGTGTGGGGTCTGGAGCATCCCCAGGGTCCAGAGCATCCCCACTATGCGGGGTCCACATCATCCCCACGATTCAGGGTCCGGAGCATCCCCGGGTGTGGGGTCCGGAGCATCCCCACAATTCAGGGTATGGAACATCCCCAGGGTGTGAGGTCTGGAGCATCCCCGGGGTGCGCAGTCCGAGGTCCCGAGCATCCCCAGGGTCTGGGGTCTGGAGTATTCCTGGGGTCCGGAACATCCCCACGATTCGGAATCCGCATCATCCCCGCAATTCGGGGTCCACAGCATCCCCAGGTGTGGGTGGGATGCAGGGAGCACATACCGGAGCCCCCCAACCCCCCGGTGTTTCTGTCCCCTCCGAGGTTTGGGTGCTGCCCATCTTTTCCCTAACGGGGAAATATACCCCTTGTTTGTAATTTCCAGACCAAAACATCTCCTTTAGTTGTGTTTCTAGGGAAAAACATTGTATTTTTAGGGGAAGCCACTTCCTTTAGTTGCATCTTTAGGGAAAACCTCCTTTCCTTTAGGGAAAATCTCATTTTGTTGCAATTTTAGGGGAAAAACATCTCCTTTGGTTGCGTTTTTAGGGCAAACATTTTCCTTGCTTGGATTTTTAGGGGGAACCATCTCTCGTGGTTCTATTTTTAGGGGAAAACATCTCCTTCAGTTGTCTTTTTTTTTATTTAGTGAAAAACCCATCCCTTAGTTGTATTTTTATGGAATACATTTCCTTTACTTGCGTTCCCAGGGAAAAACATCTCCCTCAGTTAAATTTTTAGGTGGAGATATCTCTGTCAGTTGCATTTTTGGGGAAACATCTCCCTTGCCTATATTTGTTTTGGGAAATCATCTCCTTTAGCTGGACTTTTAAGGGCTTTTAGGGAAAAACATGCTCTTTTGTTGCATTTTAGGGAAAAACATCTCATTTAGTTGCATTTTTTTAGGGAAAAACATGTCCCTTGGTTGAGTCATAAGGGGAAAACATTTCCATGGGTTGCATTTCCTAGGGAAAACCAGCTCCTTAGTTGGATTTTTAAGGGAAAACGTGTCCTTTATGCAGGATGCTTAAAAAGCAGGGATTTGTGAGTCAAGCAGAGCAGGAGAGACAAACTCACCACTTACAGGCATGGGGAGGGAGGGAACAGGGGTTCTGTCATCCTAAAATCACAGAACATCCTGAGCTGGAAGGGATCATTGAGTCCAACCCCTGGCTGTGCACAGACACCCCAAAAATCCCACATTGTCCTTGAGAGTGTTGTCCAAGCTCTCATGGAGCTCTGGCAGCCTCAGAGCTGCTGCTGTTCCTGCTTTCTGTGCGCTGGGCACTGATGGATTTGGGCTGCCAGGAGGATTTGGAGCCTTGCACCTTTCCTTGTGACTTGTGGGCCACTGGGTTCTGCCTCCCGTGCTGGCCCAGGAGCCCACCACAGAGTGCTGGGTTAATGTGGAACCTCCTGATCTGGTTCTGATCCTGATCCTTTTTCCTGATCCTGGAAAAAGCAGCCAGGTTCAAATGTCCCTGCACTGCAAGCGCTGCTGTGTTTGGCTTGGCCACAGCCCCTTCTGCTGCTTTTCCCAATGGGATTGCTGGTGGGACAACACAGCCAAGGGCAGCAGGTAGCTGGGGCAAAATTCTCCAGATTATCCAGATTGCCCAAAATGAGGCAAATTGTTGCCTTTTTTTTTTTTTTTTTTTTTTTTTTTTTTTGGAAAGCTGCTGCTGGTTTCTCTTGGCAATGCTGGCCCAACCGCAAGTGCTGGTGCTCTCAGGGAGGTTTCAGCACTCCCCTCCTCATAGTCCCCTCCTGAACAAGCTGAAATCCATCAGAAATCCATCAGAAATCCACCAGAAATCCACCAGAAATCCATCAGAAATCTGGATCCTCAGCCATGGGAGGACCCTATGTGTCCTTGAGAGCCATGGGAAGCCCCTTTCTCTGAGGGAGCCTTTGGGATGGGTGTCGTTTACCCATGCCCTGCCTTTCAGGGGTGCAGATAAAGGGTGACCACCCTTTATCTGGTCCTGCAGAGCCAAAATCCCGTTATCCAAGCTTTTCCCTGGGAATGGGGCACCTTCCCCCGTGCTGAAATTCTTCCTGGTAACACAGTGCAAGTGCTTGTGGGACAACAAAAGAGGTTTGTGCCTCCAGGGGAGAAATAAGAATGCAAATATCTCTGGCATGAAAAACCCCAGAGCGATTTGCTCCTCGGTATTTCTTGTCAGTGCTCTGCATCTGTTCTCTGCCTCACCTTCCCAATCCTTCCCTTTGGGCTCTCCAAGAGCAATAAGGCTCCGGGGAGCCGAGGGGGCTGCAGGGGCCCTGTGGGGGGACAGGGATGGTGGCTGCAGCCTCTCCAGCCCCACTGTAGAACCCTTTTTCCCCCATATTTTTTGGGGTAATTTCCCAAATTTCCCAATTTGCTGCTCGGCTTGGTTTGCATCCTGTTCCCTGGCACATCCACCATGGGTCAGTCCCGTGCCTGGCAGTGCTTGCTGCAGGACCTCCATCATCCCAGCAACTCCAGCAGCAGGGCTGGGGTAAAACCCTTTTTCCCCCATATTTTTGGGGGAATTTCCCAATTTGCTGCTTGCCTTGGCTGGAATCCTTTTCATCCTGGGTCCATCCCGTGCCTGGCAGCGCTCACTGCAGGACGTGTCTCTCCATCATCCCAGCAGCTCCAGCAGCAGGGCTGGGGGCTGGACAGGGATGGTGGCTACAGCCTCTCCAGCCCCACTGTAAAACCCTTTTTTCCCCCATATTTTTTGGGATTTTCCCTACTGCTGGCTTGGCTGGGATCCTTTTCCATCCCGGGTCAGTCCCGTGCCTGGCAGTGCTCGCTGCAGGACATGTCTCTCCATCATCCCAACAACTCCAGCAGCAGGGCTGGGGTAAAACCCTTTTCCCCCCATATTTTTGGGGTAATATCCCAAATTTCCCAATTTGCTGCTTGGCTTGGCTGGGATCTTTTTCCCTGGCACATCCACCGTGGGTCCATCCCGTGCCTGGCAGCGATCACAGTGGGACGTGTCTCTCCATCATCCCAACAGCTCCAGCAGGGCTGGGGGCTCTGTAACCCACAGGGATGGTGGCTACAGCCTCTCCAGCCCCACTATAAAACCCTTTTTCCCCATATTTTTTGGGGAATTTCCCAATTTGCTGCTTGGCTTGGCTGGGATCCTTTTCCATCTCGGGTCAGTCCCGTGCCTGGCAGCGCTCACTGCAGGACGTGTCTCTCCATCATCCCAGCAGCTCCAGCAGCAGGGCTGGGGGCTCTGTAACCCACAGGGAAGCAGAGCGGAGTGCTGGCTGAGGGCATAAATGAGATAAATGAGCCAGGAGCTGGGAAGGAGGGCGGGCTGGGCAGAGAGGGGAGCGCGGGCCCCTGGCTGGGTGGCTCCGGCACTTCCAGCTCATTTATTCTGCCGGGGTTTGCCCAGCCCTGCTCGGCATGTGAAATGTTTTCTCTGAAAGACCCAGCAGTGAGATGGGTGAAAAACATTCTCCTGTCCCAGGAGCTGGCAGAAATCCTGGTAAATCTGCAGAAGTATGTTTTTGTCGGTGCTGCTTGTTCTGTGAGGAGAACTAGTGTAAACTATGCCAGCAGAAAACCTTTTTTCCTGGAATGAAGTCCTGACTGTGTTCAGAGCATTGTCAGCACGCTTGTGCTGGGAATGGAGCTCTGCTGGTAAACATGCCAGCACCAGGGAGGCCCAAGGGGGCAGACACAGAGCTCCTGCCCCATGGTCAGACTCCTCACCAGGTACTCCTGCCCTTCTCTGCTCAAATCAAAATCTCTGGGATCCTAAATTGCAAAAAAAAAAAAAAAAAAAAAAAAATCATAGATTTGTTTTTCTGCCCCCTGAAAGCCTGTCTGCCCTGCCATCCATCCCCCCCAGTGGGGTCAGCACCATGGGGAGGTGTCCCCATCCCACATCACTCAGCACAGCTGAGCCATCACTCCTGCTTGCCTGCCTCAGTTTCCCTGGCCCCTGCTGGCACAAGGGGTGACACTGGGAGCTCCTGGGTAACAGCAGAAATTCAGTTTGAATTTCTCATCCTTTGCTGTGTCCTTTTCTCCCTGCTCCTCGTGGTCGGGATGGGGGGTCCTGCTGGGACTTTGGGCAGGACCACTGGGTGGGTTTGGGCTGGAGATCAGAGCTGGGACCCCCAGAGTGGGTTGTGAGCCCCAGGGGGTGGCTCAGCACAGCTGGGTGTGCTTCAAAGGGCCGCAGGTTTTTCTGGGCTCCAGCCACTGCTTTGCTCTCCAGGCAGGTGTGAAGATGTGAAAGAATGTGAAAAATGCGAAAACGATCACGCTGGCCCCAAGATTTGTAAACTTTCTGGTTAATGTGTAATAAATAACACGACAGATAATGCCAGCACAGTGAGGGTGACCCCTCTGTGGTGCCACTGCCAGGGGTGACATCCCAGAGAGGCATCTACACAGGGACCAGTCCTGCTTGGAGAGGCTTTGGGTGCTTTTCTAAACTGGTTTATCTGGTTTTGATTCTCCAGGCTGCTGTGAGCTGCGTGCCTGGCTTGCAGAAGGCAGGTTCTTTGTTTGTTCAGGGCTGCCCTGGTCCAAGGTGCGTGCTGTGCCGCTCACCAGGTGTGCCACGTCCAGCTGCCAACCCCGCTCATCCCCAAGCCAGCGATCCCTCCCTGCCCCTCCTGCAGCTGCAGCCACCCGGGCAGCGTTTCCTGCTTGGCACAGGTGCCACGGCGCTCCTGCCAGCCTGGGGAATCTCTCCTGAGTCATTCTGCTTTTTGCAGAAAGAGCTGAAAGTCAATGGGGATAGCTCTGCGTGGGTCTGGCTGCGGAGGGGGTGCAGGTCCTGGTGCAGGGGGGATCCCAGGGGGCTCCCACCCTGCACAGCCTGAACCAGGAATCTGAGCTGGAAAGGGTCAGGGAGGGCTCAGAGCTGATGCCAGGGATGGCCTCACACTCATGGATGTGGTCTGGATGTGGGCATCCCACAGGCTGTGTTCTGCCTCGCCTTCAAACAGCTCTGGGCATCAGGGATCAGCAGGTTTTGTTTGATGCTAATGCATGAATTTGAGCCCTGAAAGACTTTCCCTGTAATTTAGGGAGGAGAGAGTGTCCTTTGAAAATGGTTTGGGTTGTTTTTGTTAGCTGTGTCATCCTGGCATCCCTGCCCAGAGTCAACGGAAGGGACGGGGGTTTGTGGGTTCGGCTGCTTTGAGGTGGGCTGGGGTTTCTGTGGGGCTGCAGGTGCAGCTGGGGGAGCCTGGGGCACTCTGGGGGTGCAGAGCAGCCCCTCAGGAGCTGGGTCTGGGTTTGGGAAGGGTGTTTGGAGAGGCTGGGACTTGGCACAGAGAGCAGCTCAGCCTGGGAGAGGCTGGGAGCTGCTGGGTGCCAGTGGAGGTGCCGGAGGGCAGGATTAGCTGGTGTGTCTTCCCAGAAAGCTGAACACCACCTGCCTGAGGAGATCAGCCCAATTCTGGGGCTTTGTTTTTTCCCAAACCTCATATCTGGCACAGGGTGATTGATATCCCGCTCTGTTGTGGAGAGAACCAGACAGGGAACTGGGATGGGGCTGGGATGGGGCTGGAATAGGGTTGGGAAGGGATGGGATGGGGCAGGGATGGGAATGGGACGGGGCTGGGATGGGATTGAGATGGGGCTGGAATAGGGCTGGGATGGGGCTGGGATGGGGCTGGGATGGGGCTGGGAAGGGGCTGGGATGGGATGGGATGGGATGGGATGGGATGGGATGGGATGGGGATGGAATGGGATGGGATGATGTTGGGATGGGGATGGGATGGGATGGGGATGGAATGGGATGGGATGAGGTTGGGATGGGGCTGGGATGGGCTGAGGCCTCCCTGCCCACTGTGAGGTTGGTGACTCAGCTCTGTGCTGTCCCTGGCCCAGCTGGGCTCAGCCCTGGGCAGGGGGTGTGGGACCCAAGCAGAGCTGCTGCTCCTTTCAAGTCCCATGAGGAAATCCAAGGAAATTGCAAAGGAATTTTTGTTTTGGAAGTGAAGGCAGCTTGGCTGCCATCAAACATGTCCAGACACCTACTCTGGGTTGTTGGAGCTGTGGGGATGCAGAGGGTGCAGAACAGGAGCTGAGCTCGTGGGCTTTGTTAGGGCAGGGCTGAGCAGGGTTTCCCAGAGCTGAGCCCCCTCCCACAGCTCAGCCCCACATCCCACCCCCATTAGCTGTGCACTGAGAGCCTCCAGCCTCCATAAATTATCACTCTGGGCTATGAATTATGAATGGAGCCACATCTCTGATCACTGCACTGCTCTGCTGACAGCCCAGGAGCTGCTGATCCAAGTGACAGCCCAAAGCTTTTAAAGATGTGAACAGCAAAACCTGGGAATAATTCCCTTTGCAAGCTACAAACAGCTTGGCCTACAGATGGGGCTCATCCTATTCCCTCTCCTGCCTCCTCCTGTCCTGTTCTTCTCTTTTGTTTCCCAGTTTTGGCTTCCCTACTCTCCCTCTCTGTGATAATGGGTGTTGTCCTGCTTGGCCATCCCATGGGAGCTGCATCCCTCCTGCCACATCCCTGGTACCTCTGGGGACAGCTGGTCCTGGCCATCCCAGCCCAGCACAGACCCCACAGCCACTGCAGAGCTCCTGGTGCAGGACCCAGCAGGATTTTTGGCAGATCTCTGCAGCTCCTTTGGCCATAACTCTGTGTTCAAGACGTCGTATTCCGCATCTCCATCTGCTCCATGGAGCTCTGCCATTGCTCCTTGGAGGCTTTGTCCTTGAACCTTCCCATCTCTGGAGGCCAAATTCTGCCCTAAGCAGCTGGATGTGCTTAATTCACCCAAAAAAAGGGTGGGTTTTGCCCTCTGGGTCTGTATGGATTCCTGCCCTTCACCTCTGGGGCAGCTCCCTCCAGCAGCCGGGTTGTGCTTCTGCTCTGGCAGCTGTGGGGCAGAGGGAGCAGAACTAAATTCAGACAGTGAGCTTCAGATTCAGACACGTGCCAGCTGTCACAAACGAGGGCAGGGCCCTGTATGAACCCTTTGTGGGGCTGTAGCACTTGGGGGAAAGCTCTTGACAAGCAGGAGGGAGCAGGGGGTGGCAGGAGCAGGGGATGGCAGGAATGGGATGGCAGGAGCAGGGGATGGCAGGAATGGGATGGCAGGAGCAGGGGATGGCAGGAGCACAGGAAACCATCCCAGCCTGAGCAGTGGGTTTAGGGAAGGGGCACTCTGCATTCCCATCCTTTCCAGTTGAGCCATTGGGAACCAGGCAGCAGAACAACTTCAAAGGCAAAGTCTTGGTGTCTGGAGGAGCTGCTTTGCCCAGGTGTCTGGAGCTGTTTTGTCCTGGTCTCTGGAGGCTTTTTGCCCTGATCTCTGCAGAAGCTGCTTTGCCCTGGTCTCTGGAGGCTTTTTGCCCTGATCTCTGCAGAAGCTGCTCTGCCCCAGGCTGGGCTGCAGGAGCACTCACTCCCCTGTCCTGACTATTTCATTTCCCTTGCACAGGGGATGCTGTAAGCAGGTGAAGGATGGACTGACAGAGCCCCAGCAGGCCCCACCCAAGGCTGAGGGGCTCAGCCTGCAGGGAAGGAGCCAGTTTTGGACACAAACATCACTCAGGCTGCGGCGAGGGGAGAGGAGCTGCGAGGAGCTGCCGCGGATCGAACCCGCTCCTGGAGGGGAAAATACCGCTTCGGTTTGGTGTCTAATTAGATATTTACCAGGAAGGAAGGAAAGATATAAATAGGGTGACAGTGACTTCAAAGGGTGTTTTTTGACTTCTAAGAATAACACCTTTGCTGGCGCCGGTTTCGGGAATATCGGCTGTGCCGGGGTGTGAAAGGCGGAGGAGGTGTCGCAGCTCGGTCGGCAGCCAAGGGAGCAAACCCAGACCCCAGCCCCGCTGCAAACCCAGACCCCAGCCCCGCTCCAAACCCAGACCCCAGCCCCGCTCCCAACCCAGACCCCAGCCCTGCTGCAAACCCAGACCCCAGCCCCGCTCCCAACCCAGACCCCAGCCCTGCTCCAGCCCCACAGAGCAGCTGAGGAAGGGACAGAGCCCTGGAAGGCTCAGCTGCATCCACAGGGACACGGCAGGGGCAGTTTGGGGGAGACCAGCGGTGCTGCAGCGCGGGCAGGAGGGGACGTGTGGCACCATGGGGACACCACCCCTGTCCCCGTGGGCAGTGCTGGTGCCCACCCTGGTGCTGGTGGGGCTCTGGGCTCCCTGTGTGGAGAGCAGGCAGCCCAACTTCATCGTCATCCTGGCTGATGATGTGGGCTGGGGGGATCTGGGCGCCAACTGGGCAGAGACGAAGGAGACGCCGCATTTGGATCAGTTGGCTGCTGAAGGAACAAGGTAATGTCTGTCGCCCTCCCTGCCCTCACCCTGCACCCCTGGTTCCTCTGCCCTGCAGCACAGGGGAATTCAGCCCGGTGGGACTGGCAGGTGAGGGAATTTTGTTGGTGTGGGTTTGGCTGCATGGGGAGGGCAGCCAGAGCCTGGCACATTGGGGTGCAGCTCCATCCATCCCTGCTGGAGCCTTCCTCTGCCAGTCCTCACCCTCATCCCCAGGGCAAAAGGGGGAGCATCCAGGGGAGCGGGGAGGGACAGGGCACACAGGATGTCATGGGTTGAAGGGTTTTTCGTTTTGCAGGTTCGTGGATTTCCACTCAGCTGCCTCCACGTGCTCCCCGTCCCGCGCCTCGCTGCTCACGGGGCGCCTGGGGCTGCGCAACGGGGTCACCCACAACTTCGCCATCTCCTCTCTTGGGGGCCTCCCCCGCAACGAGACCACCCTGGCCGAGGTCCTGAGGGAGGCTGGCTACAGCACAGGGGCCATAGGTAATGCCCAGAGTGCCAGGGGCACTGGGGAGGTGCCAGGGTGAAATGGTGGCACCCAGCGTGCCAGGGGGTGCCAGGGTGAAATGGTGGCACCCAGTGTGCCAGGGGGTGCCAGGGTGAAATGGTGGCACCCAGCGTGCCAGGGGGTGCCAGGGTGAAATGGTGGCACCCAGCGTGCCAGGGGGTGCCAGGGTGAAATGCTGGCGGTGAAAGGGAAAACTAAAGGATCACGTGAGGAAGATTTCACACATCCCCCTTGCATTTTGCAATGCCAGGCTTAAAATCTTTCTTTTCAAGGGTGCTGCCGGAAATCCCGACTTCTCCATTTAATCTCTCACTGCTTTATCTCCCGAGGAATGTGCTGGGTGTTCCTTAGCAAACAGGATTGGCTCTGCCATCCTGCATCCCACACCATGGGCAGTGCTGCTGGCCTGGTGGCTTTGGGCACCCTCCTGTCACTGTGGGTGCCCCTCAGTCTGCCCAAACCCTTTGCATCTGCAGCTCCTGCTGTTGTGCTGGCAGAAATTCCCTCTGTTTCTCCATTCCCCCCCCCAGTTTTTGCAGTTTTCCCTCTTGGATCAGCACGTTTGGTGGGAGCAAACACGTGCTGGAGGTCAGGGGATGAAGCTGGGTTTAGGGAGCTGTCTGCTCAGAACACAAACACATGAAAGAGCCTTTTAAGGCTGGAAACACTCGCTTTGCACAGCCATGAGATACCTTATGCATTTTTTTCTGGGTTTTCTGCAAAAATAGACGGCGTTCTGGAATGGCAGCCAGCACAAACAAGGGACCTTCCTTGTAGCTTGATTAAAGCCCCCAGCGCTGTGGGCACCTTGTGGGTGAGGGCTGCTGGTGGCCAGGGCTGTGTCACCCCTGAAATGATGTTCTGTGGCTTTCCTGCAGGCAAGTGGCACCTGGGACACCACGGCCACCATCACCCCACCTCCCGTGGTAAGGGCTGTGCCAGGGGCACGGGCTGAGGGCCCTGCGGCCCCCTGGACCCTGCTGACCCCCTCACTGTCCTCTCAGGCTTCGACTACTACTATGGGATCCCCTACAGCCACGACATGGGCTGCACAGACACCCCTGGCTACAACCTGCCCCCCTGCCCGCCCTGCCCAGGGCACAGCGCCGCTGCCAGGTACGGGCACGGGGCTCCAGGGCTGGCGCGGGGCTCCAGGGCTGGCACGGGGAGCTGGGTGTGTGCAGCAGTGTCCCCAGCCCTGAGGGCTGCCCTTGTGGTCACCTCCCCTCACGCTCTGTGCCCCCAGTTTCCCCCTGCAGCCTGTGAGCCCCCCGTTCCATGGGGACATTGGCACCACTCCCCTTGTTCTCCCTCCCTTGAAGCCAGGGGATCAGCCAGGCTCTGTGACAAGCCTGGGGTGGCTTTTCCCAGCAGGGTGGTGAGGAAGGACTGTTACACAGAGGTTGCCCTGCCTCTCATGGAGAACATCACCATCGTCCAGCAGCCCGTGGAGCTCGGCAGCCTGGCCAGGCGCTACGCAGAGGAGGCAGAGAGGTTCATCCAGAGGGCCAGGTGAGGCCACCCACTGTCCCCTGTGTGTCCCCGTAGCTGGGAGAGCTCCTGGGGCACTGCAGGACTCCTCTGCATCACCCTGGTGCAGTGCCAGGGGAGATGGGTTCAGATTTGGGGTGCCCATGGCTTGGCTTCCTGCTGGAGGAGGCACTGGGGCTCTTCTGGTGCCCTCTAAAGGGTTGTGTGTTTTTAAAACCATCGTTTTTGGGGAAAGTCAAAGCCTTTGAGTGGGCTGTGCCTCCTTCCTGGGGGGAATATGCACCAAGGTCTGACCATCCCTGCATCCCTGGGGATGAGGCAACAATGGGGTGCTTGGAGGCGCCTCCATGGGTGTGGGGCTACGCCTCCTTCCTGGGGGAAATGTGAAGGATGTCAAGGTCTGTCCATCCCTGTGGATGGGGTGGCAATGGGGTGCTGGAGGTGCCTCCATGGGTGTGAAGTGCTGGCAGGCGCTGAGTGGTGTCAGGGTGGGACCAGAACAGCACCAGAGGTGTTTGAACACTCCCTGTATGAGAGATTGGATCCATTTTGGGGATAAAGCACCCTGGGCTCCAGGATCTGCCTCCCCCAGGCTCAGAGCACAGGAGGTGCCCGGCTCTGATTGTCCCCGAGGAGCAAAGTGGCTCCTCCAGCGAGGCCCCCGAGCCCTGCTGACGGGTTGTGTAATTTTAATCCCCATTATTGGCGGATTACGAGCTGTGACTTTGCAAAACGCCTCCCTGCAGAGCGAGGAGAGGAAGCGCTGCCGGGCAGCCCTGCCCGAGCCCATCCCTGCCCGCATCCCGGGATAACAGGCACGGGAAGGTTTGTGTGAAACAGGGCTGGACAGGGAGCAGCACAGGGGGAAATGGCTCTTTATCAAACTGGGCACTGTTTTGTTGCATAAAACCTGTATTTGACCCGTAAGATACCAAGGATTTGCCGTGGGGTGGCTTGGCCACATTTGGGATGCTGAGGATACCCAGGCCCTGGGCTGTGGGTATCCTGCCAACCCCTTCTCCTGCCAAACAGAGCACTCCAGGCTGTCTGGGTGCTCTGTGGCTGTGAAATGGAGTGTATAAACTCTGGGTTAATAGGAAAAACCTTTAAACTCCCATAAGTGTTTAGGGGTTATCTGTGCTCATGGAGAAAAGGATTAGGCAGGTGCCTGCCTTTTCTTCCCTCCCCTGATGGCTTATTTCAGTTTTCCCCTGCCCCTGCTTATTCCAGTTCTCCCCTGCCTGCTTGGCCACGTTTGGGATGCTGAGGGTACCCAGGCTTTGGGCTGTGGGGCAGCACCAACCCCTTCTCCTGCCAAATCTTCAGCCCTCTGGGCTGCCTGGGTGCTCTGTGGCTGTGAAACCAAGTGTGTAAGCTCTGGGTTAATAGGAAAAACCATTAAACTCCCAGAAGTGTTTAGGGGTTATCTGTGTTCATGGAGAACAGGATTAGGCAGGTGCCTGCCTTTTCTTCCCTTCCCTTTGATGGCTTATTCCAGTTTTCCCCTGCCTGACTCATTCATTACAGGGCAACAAAAGAACACCGGATTTGCCATCTCGGTGTTTTTTTAACCAGCCGAGGTTGAGCAATTTGTGACAGTGAGACGTGGCACAGGCGAACGTGGGAGCAAAAGTCAGGGACTGCTGTCTTCAGTTATTGATTAAACGTTTGCCTGATCTTCAGGACAATTCCGAGGTGTCTGAGTGGCAAACGAGAGGGATGAGCACCACAGCCACGAGTCCGTCTGGGTGCTGGAGCCAGGGGAAGCAGCTTTCCCTGCTCTGGGGGCTCTGGTATCCCTTGGGAAGAGCTCTCACAGTGGCTGTTTGCGAGGGGCACATGAGCTCTGCGGAGCCCCACGTCCTGCAGGGATGGGCAGGGTGCCAGGAGAGATGCCAGAGGAGATGGGTGTTGTTCCATGGCTCAGATTTGGGGTGTCCATGGCTTGGCTTCCTGCTGGAGGAGGCACTGAGGCTCTTCTGGTGTCCTCTAAAGGGTTGCATGTTTTTAAAATATCAATTTTGGGGAAAGTCAAGGTGGGGATTTTGAGGAAACCCTTTGTGGGGCTCCAGGCAAGATGGGGGCTTGGCTTGGTGTCCATGGCTTGGCTTCCTGGAGGAGGAGGCACTGAGTCTTTTCTGGTGCCCTCTAAAGGGGTTGTGTGTTTTTAAACCATCATTTTTGAGGAAAGTAGAAGTGGAGGTTTTGAGGAAACCCTTTCTGGGGCTCCAGCCCCCCAGCAACTCTGGGCAGGATGGGAGCTTGGCTTGGGGTCCATGGCTTGGTGTCCTGCTGGAGGCACTGAGGCTCTTCTGGTGTCCTCTGAAGGGGTTGTGTGCTTTTAAAACATTGTTTTTGGGGAAAGTCAAGGTAGGGGTTTTGAGAAAACCCTTCATGGGGCTCCAGCCCCCTCAGCTCCAGGCAGGATCGGGCCTTGGCTTGGTGTCCATGGCTTGGCTTCCTGCTGGAGGAGGAGGCCCTGAGGCTCTTCTGGTGCCCTCTAAAGGGGTTGTATATTTTTAAAGCCATAATTTTTGAGGAAAGTCAGAGCAGGGATTTTGAGAAAACCCTTCCTGGGGCTCCAGCCCCCTCAGCTCCGGGCAGGATGGGGTTTTTTGCTCATTTTGCAGGCCAGGTGGGTGCCGGGCAGAGGAAGGAAGCGCAGCCACGCACGGGCAGGGCTGGCAGGAGGCAGAGATGGGGCCGGGCCCGTGCGCAGCCCTGGATCCGGCCCCTCCTCGCTGCTGCCATCCCACCCTTCCCCTCCGAGCTCCCTGAGGAAGAGCAGGCTCGTTGGAGCAGATAAATATAGCTGTAAACAAGCAAACAGGACGTGTCCTGTGCTGCTGCGGGACTATGCATGGCGGTGGACGTGCTGCAGGATGGTGGCACTGCCCGGGCCGTGCTGGGCTGTGTGGGGGCCCTGCTGTGCCACATCCTGTGCCCACAGTGCCACCAGGCCGGGCACCAGCTGGGGAGGGGGAAAAAGGGACAAAATGGGCCCTCAGAGAGGGGAGGGAGGTGTGTGGGTGCAGCAGCATGGAGTGCTTGGAGATGGAGATGGAGGAAGGGGCAAATCCACCCCAAATGGGGGCACAGCTGACAACAGGGGGACAGTGGGGAGAGGTTTAAGCAGCAGCAGGGGAGAAATGGCTCAGCTCAGCTTCCTCCCTGTAAGGAGAGGGGTGCCTGGAGCTGGGTGGTGTACATGGGGTGATTTTCCAGAGGCAGGAGTGGAAGGGTTTGTGTCCCCAGGCTCAGCAGTGCCACCACCCCAGTGACCCCAAAGGCTGAACGCTCTCTGTGTGTCCCCTGTGCAGTGCCAAAGGACAGCCCTTCTTCCTGTACCTGGCCCTGGCCCATATGCACGTCCCGCTGGTGCCCCCGCTGCCCCCCGGCCTGGGCAGGGGCATCTACGGAGCCTCCCTGGGGGAGATGGATGCGCTGGTGGCACGGGTGAAGGAGGCAGCAGACAGCCTGGGCAGGGGCAGCACGCTGCTCTGGTTCACAGGTACTGCAGGGCACTGCAGGGATGGGGCTGTGGGCTTCTCTGAGCCTGAGAGGAGCAGAGAAAAGAATGAGCAAAACAATTCTGATCTCACTCGCTGCTCCTGCGTTGTGCCAAAAGGGGGGTGACACTGGGGGTGCACCTGGGGGTGGGGGCAGGATCTGTGCTTGTCCCCTGCCCTGCATGTCCCCTGCCCTCAATGTCCCCTGCCCTCAGTGTCTTCTGCCCTCGATATGCCCTGCCCTCAATGTCTCCTCCTCTTGATGTCCCCCACCCTTGATGCCCCCTGTCCTCGATGTCCCCTGCCCTCGATGTCCCCTGCCCTTGGTGTCCCCTGCCCTCCATGTCCCCTACCCTCAGTGTCCCCTGCCCTCCATATCCCTTGCGCTCAATGTCTCCTGCTCTCAGTGTCCCCTGCCCTGGATGCTCTCACTGCTCTGTGGGTGGGGAGTGGTCCCACCGTGGGGCTGGGTGGGGGTCCCAGGCTGCCGTGCCCACCCTGCCATGGTGCCCATCCTGCCACTGTGCCCACCCTGCAAACTGTGCCCATCCTGCCACTGTGCCCATCCTGCCACTGTGCCCGCCCTGCCACCCCCCCCTCCGCCTGCGGGGCTGCAGTGGCAGGGCCGTGACTAATTAAGGCACAAATCCTCGTTCGTTAAGAAGCCCAAATCCGCTCTGTGTCCCGAGCAGCCTCCCTAATGAGGATGTCTCGCTGCTGATGACAGGAACCGCTCGGCCGCTCATTAACACCCGGAGCTGGTGGCACCGAGCCCCCCCTGCCCTGCCCTGCCCTGCCCTGGCTGCCCTGGTTGCCCTCCAGCCCCTGCAAACAAACTGCAAAAACCAAAATCCATCAGCCCTGCAAACAAACTGCAATAACCAAAACCCATCAACCCTGCAAACAAACTGCAAAAACCAAAACCCATCAGCCCTGCAAACAAACTGCAATAACCAAAACCCATCAGCCCTGCAAACAAACTGCAAAAACCAAAACCCATCAACCCTGCAAACAAACTGCAATAACCAAAACCCATCAGCCCTGCAAACAAACTGCAAAACACCAAAATCCATCAGCCCTGCAAACAAACTGCAAAACACCAAAATCCATCAGCCCTGCAAACAAACTGCAAAACACCAAAACCCATCAGCCCTGCAAACAAACTGCAATAACCAAAACCCATCAGCCCTGCAGACAAACTGCAAAACACCAAAATCCATCAACTCCCCGTGGGGAGGCATCGCACGGGTGGCAGAGAGGGATGCAAGGGTCACTTGTCCTTGCCTACCCCACACTGTGGGTGTCCCCTGTGGTCCTGGTGTCCCTCACGGGGACATTTCTTTCTCTTGCAGGTGACAATGGCCCCTGGGCACAGAAGTGTGAGCTGGCAGGACGCCTGGGGCCATTCGTGGGTGCCTGGCAGAGGCAGAGAGGTAACCTGGCACCGTGGGGGGGTCCCAGTGCCAGGGGCACAGAGGGGTCCCAAATCCAGGGACACGGGGGGGCTGCTCCACAAAGCCCTCAGTGCCCACCGAGGGGACATGGGCATCATTCCATCCATGCCAGCCTCTCCCTGGCTGCTCCACAAAGCCCTCGGTGCCCACCAAAGGGACATGGGCATCATTCCATCCATGCCAGCCTCTCCCTGGCTGCTCCACAAAGCCCTCGGTGCCCACCAAAGGGACATGGGCATCATTCCATCCATGCCAGCCTCTCCCTGGCTGCTGCCCTTGGCTTGAACACACCCCAGCGCTATGTTTTTTCTTTCAAACAGCCAAGTTTCCCCCAGAACTGCTGTGGGGGGTGGGTTTGGGTCCCCATAACCCCGGAGCTTGGGGTGAGTGTGCTGGTTTGCAGATGGGATGCTGGGATCTGCCCCATCAGGGTCTCACAGCCCCCAGAGCAGAGCACCCACCATCCACCACCCTCCCCACACGCTGGGATTTGGCTTTTCTTTCACTCCACCGTTTTGTTGGGTTTTAATTTTGTTTTGTTTTGAGGTTTTTTTTTTCACTCTTTCCTCCTTTTCCGGCCAAGCCATCTGCTCGGTGGGTTTATTTCAGCCGGGGCAGCCAGAAACATCCATGAGTCAGGCGTTTCCCACTTCTGCTTGTGTTACGCGGTGTTACCGTGCCAGTCCCGGGGTCAGCACCGAGGCTCATCCTCCTCCTCCTCCTCTTCCTGACACCCTGGCCGCGCCACCGTGGCCATTCCCCGGGCAAACAGCGCTGGCTCTGTCCCATTCCCGGAGCCTTTCCTTCTCCTGGCCCCGGGGATGGAACCGTAACCTCAGTTTTGTAGTAAACAAACCCAGCAAACCCCGCTGCCGGCCCCGGGCTGCTGCTCTTGAGCAACCCCCGGTCACAAGCCCGAGCAGATGGTGCAGAACAGGACGAGCAGAACTCAGACCACGGCCCCTTGCAGCCCCTGTGCCCTGCAGAGCCCCCGGCAGGGAGGGAGGAACTTGGATTTAAATTCCATTTTACGCATCCATTTCTTTTATCTTGACTTTTTTTTTTTTTTGTCAAATAATTAAGCCATATATCCCTACATTATCCAAATCGCTTATCACCAATACTTTCAATTAACCTTCCTCTATATTTCCTATTATCAAAACCCAACTGTCATCATCTGTCAGGATGGTGTTTTTAATGAGGCGGGTTTCCACAACCACCCCCAAACAAACACACAATTAACCCCAGAACTTACCCTTCCCTCCCAAAAAACCATACAAAAATACAAACCATGATACAAATAATCAACCAATCACCCACCAAATTTTATAAAAAGCATGAAGATGCCAAGATGGCTGCCACACACCCCCAAGGACAAAAGGCTTAGTCCTGACCTTACTGTCAGTTTTTGCTGGGTCTATACATGCAGGTATCCCCATGGGGCTGGCATGGGGATAAAAACACCCCGGGGCCAGGGTGGGATGGAAATCCCTGAGCTGGTGCCTGCAGGACGTTTGCAGAGCCAGCCTGGGGATGCCAGGCTGGGCTGGCACTGCCAGGAATGCCAGGCTGGGATGCTCAGCCCTTCCAGCCCTGGGGATTGTTCCTGGGCAGGGAAAAGCCCCCGAGGGATGGGACAGCAGGGGAAGATAGGCTGCTCCCTGGCTAAAAAATATACATTAAAAAAATCTATTTATTTCTATATTTTTTCATATGTTTCTATATGTTTCTATATGTCTCTATATGTTTCTACGTTCCTATATGTTCCTATACATTCCTATATGTTCCTACATGTTTATTTTTCTAACATGTTTCTGTATGTTTCTAACATGTTTCTATACATTTCCAACATGTTACTACGTTTCTATATGTTTCTAACATGTTTCTCTATATTTCTACATATTTTTATATTTCTAACATGTTTCTAGAACATGTGTTTCCACATATTTTTATATGTTTCTGTATGTTCCTACAGGTTTCTACAAGTTTCTAACATGCTTCTATGTGTTTCTAACAAGTTTCTATATGTTTCTACATGTTTATGCATTTCTACATGTTTATATGTTTCTAACATACATTTCCAACATGTTTATATACCTTTCCAACATGTTTCTGCATGTTTCCATATGTTCCTACAGGTTTATACATGTTTCTATCATATTTCTACATGTTTCTAACATGTTTCTATATGTTTCTACATGTTTATGTGTTTCTAGACGTTTATATGTTTCTAACATATGTTTCTAGATGTTTCTAACACGTTTCTATGTTTCTAACATGTTTCTATACATTTCCAACATGTTTATATACCTTTTCAACATGTTTCTGCATGTTTCTATGTGTTCCTACAGTTTAAATATGTTTCTATCATATTTCTACATGTTTCTAACGTTTCTATATGTTTCTACATGTTTCTATATGTTTCTAGATGTTTATATGTTTCTAACATGTTTCTACATGTTTCTAACACATTTCTATGTGTTTCCAACATGTTTCTATACATTTCCAACATTTCTGCATGTTTCTACATGTTCCTACATGTTTCTACATGTTAATATGTTTCTGCGTGTTTCCTGTAGCTCCATCCTTTGTTTCAGGGTCCAGCCCTAAATTCCAGGGATGTTTTCCACTGATTTCAGGTGGTCCCTGGAGCTGGGATAGAGCAGCAGATCCGTGTGTGCTGCCCCTTTCTCTGTCCTTCCCAAAACCCCCAAAAATTCCTCTCCCACTTTGGGGTCAAAATTCCAGCAAGGGGAGGGATACTGGGAGAGGGATAAACATTGAGGGGATGTGATGTTTTGGGGCAGGTTGGGGGAGTTGCAGAGCCCGGTGTCCCTGTGCTGAGGACCTGCCGTGCGTGTGGTGGCACCAAGGTTTCCGTCCCGCCGCGGGAATGCACAGTTCAGCTTTCCTGGAGAGCCTGGAAAGTCCCCACAGCGGCAGCAGGGCTGCATCATCCCCGCTCTGCAGAAAATTCCCTGCTTGGCTTTGGGTGTTTCAGCCCTGTTTGCTTCCCCGAGCGTTGATGTGACCTCACCCCAGGCTGCCCTGACCTGACCAGCGGTGCTGGGGTGGCTTGGTCAGGAAACATCCGTCTGATGTCCTTCCAGAGCCCCCTGACCATGCCTGGAAAAACCCTGCAGATGCGCCCAGGAGCACGAGCCCTTTCATTTATGGGCACAGATGGGGCTGGATATTAATTGCTGTGGTTTCCTGGGGTGTCTGGGGGAAACACCAAAACTTCGGGTGAGGAATTTGGGAGTGTGCTCAGTCCTGGGCTGGTCCGATTGGCTGCTCAGCACCCCAGTTTTGGTGCTCAAAACTCCAATTTTGGTGCTCAAAACTCCGATTTTGGTGCTTAGCACCTCGATTTTTGAGCTTAGCACCCCAATGTTGGGGCTCAGCACCCCAATTTTGATGCTCAAACCTCCGATTTTTGTGCTTAGCACCCCGATTTTTGTGCTCAGCACCCCAATTTTGGGGCTCAGCACCCCGATTTTGGTGCTCAAAAATCCGATTTTGGTGCTCAGCACCCCAATTTTTGTCCTTAGCACCCCAATTTTGGTGCTCAGCACCCCGATTTTTGTGCTTAGCACCCCGACCTTTGTGCTTCGCACCGCCATTGTGGTGCTCAGAACCCAGATTTTGATGCTCAGCACCCCAATTTTGGTGCTCGAAACTCCAGTTTTGGTGCTTAGCACCCCGATTTTTGTGCTTAGCACCCCAATTTTGGGGCTCAGCACCCCGATTTTTGTGCTTAGCACCCCAGTTTTGGGGCTCAGCACCCCGATTTTGGGGCACCTGTGCCATTGGTGTGCAAGGCAGCATTGCCTGAGGGCGTGGATCAGCACCGGGCAGGGATGGGGAGGCCAGCAGGGTTGGGGACAGCCCTGGGGACAGCTCTGGGGACAGCCCAGGGGCTCTCTTGGCCGTGCCCCCAGGAAATGGCTCGGGCCAGGCGCCGTTGCCATGTGCACGCTGAAAGGCAGCGCACAAAGGCTGCTCCTGGGACGTTTGTGAATCGCCTTGGGATTTTCTCTTTGCCCCATTCCCAACCCCTTCCCCCTCCAGCTGCCTGGGGCCCTTTGGGCTGCAGCCAGGCCAGAGGCCCTACAAACCCATTCCAGCCCTTTTGATGCTTGGTGCTCCCATTTCAGGGCTCTGCACCCCGATTTTGGTGCTCAACACCCCGATTTTTGTGCTCAGCACCCCAATTTTTATGCTCAGCACCCCGATTTTGGTGTTCTCCCCCCCGATTTTGATGCTCAGCATCCCGATTTTGGTGCTCAGCACCCCGATTTTGGTGCTCAGAACCCCGATTTTGGAGTTCAGCACCCCGATTTTGGTGCCCAGCACTGCAGGTGGAGGGAGGGACTGGGCAGCATCTCAAACCCAAGGGCAGGGCAGAGCTTTGGGTGCTGTCAGGGAGAGGATGGATCAGGTTCATTAACTGAGGGTTATTAGCACGATGGCGTTTTTAATGAGGTGTCCAGCAGCCAGGGGAGGGGGAGCTGTTGGTGCTGAGCCCTGTAAGGGACAGGAGCCCCTGGAATAAATTCCTGCATTTCCTGCCTGCTCCATCCTCTCACCTGGCACCAAAGGGGATGGAAATGCGATGGCTCTGGCAAATGCTGCATTTCTCATCACTCACTGGCGCCAACACAACCCAGTGCCCAGCTGGGACCCCTTTGAGCAGCTCCTGCTCCTCCCTTCCCTAGCCCAGTGAACCCACCCTCCTTTGGGGTGATTCACACCATCCCTGCCTCTGACAGCTCCTCTCCATGGGGAGCCCCGTGCCCAGGAGGTTTCCCAGCACCTGCAGGATGCTGAGCACTGCCCTGTTCTCCTGCAGGTGGGAGCTCAGCCAAGCAAACCACCTGGGAAGGAGGGCACAGGGTGCCAGCCCTGGCGTACTGGCCTGGCCGTGTCCCTGCTGGGAGGACCAGCCAGGCTCTCCTCAGGTAAGAGCCCCTCTGGGAACAGGGTGGCCCCATTTGGAGGAGTGGGAACTCAGCACATCCCTCCGGGTGTCCAGAGCTGGGGGGCTCAGAGACCCTGGCACGCTGCCCAGAACACCTGGGGATTCGATTTTGACCCATGGATCAAATTACCAGCTTGTATGAGGACGTGAAAGTCACACAGGTTTGAATAGTGTAGTAATAAGATATTCACAGGGTGAAAATGAAGATTTTAGGATTTTTGGTATGGGGGTTATGGGGACAAGATGGAGCAATCAGGGCGTGTCTAGTCCTTCTTTCTTCTTATTCTCCATTTTCTGCAGTGATGTTGGCACTTTGGGATTGGTTTAGAGCAGAAGTGCACTGTCTAACATAGGGGATGGGTATTGGGAAGTAGTTGTAAATATGTTATATTTAGAACAGAAGCTCACTGTCTAACATAGGTGATGGGTATTGGGAATTAAGTGTAAATATGTTATAGGTAGTTTGTAGTATAAAAAGACAGCACTGCCTCAGAAGCAGTCAAAGTGCTCGTGGCTGCCCTGCTGAGCAGATCTCAGCTGGGCAGAAAGAAAATTTTATAGATAAGAATTTATAAACAACCTCAAGACTGAAAAGTGAAGAGTCCAAACTCGTTCTTCACTTGCACAGACTGAAGCAGAGACACCCTGCACATCTCAGAGCAGCAAATATCAACAGCCAACCCAAAAGGAGGGACCCCCCATTCCCACGCTGCCCCCCAGGCCATCACCTGGACTTTGGCAGCTCTGGTTATGCCCTGCCTTGTGCCAGGCTGTACTTTTGTCCTCTCCAAGCCTGAATGCCTCAGCTGAGAGGAGCTGAAAGGGCTTTTTGTGAGGCTGGAGGGCTGGGGCTCGCAGCCACCAGGGCTCCGTGTGCTCCTGGATAATTAACAAATTATGATGATGATGTTCTCGCTGCCCAGCACGGAGCAGGGGTGGCTCTGCGGTCTGTGAATGGCTTTGTGCAAGGAGGGAGTGGTTGTGAGGAGAGGAGTCCCTGCAGGAGGGCAGGGGAGGGTCTGTGCTGCCCCTCTCCCTGCAGCGTCTGCACCCCTCCATGTGCCAGCTGCTCCCCTTCATGTGCCCAGCATCTGCACCCCTCATGTGCCCAGCATCTGCACCCCTCCATGTGCCAGCTGCTCCCCTTCATGTGCCCAGCATCTGCACCCCTCATGTGCCCAGCATCTGCACCTCTCCATGTGCCCAACATCTGCACCCCTCATGTGCCCAGCATCTGCACCCCTCCATGTGCCAGCTGCTCCCCTTCCTGTGCCCAACATCTGCACCCCTTCATGTGCCAGCTGCACCCCTCCATGTGCCCAACATCTGCACCCCCTCATGTGCCAGCTGCTCCCCTCCATGTGCCCAGCATCTGCACCCCTTCATGTGCCAGCTGTACCCACCCTTACAGCCCTCCTGGGCAGCAGGTGTGGGGCACAGCCTGGGGCAGGGTGGGGGAAATGTCCCTGTGCATCCCTGATGGGTCCCCACGGTGCTGGGGTCAGGCTGGGGGAGTTTGGGGTTAGTGGGGATTGGGATGTCCTGCCCCCATTCATCCGTGATGGGTCCCCATGATGCTGGGAGTCAGGTTGAGAAGGTTTGGGGGTCACTGGGAATTGGGATGTCCTGTCTCCTTTCATCCTTGACGGGTCCCCATGGTGTTGGGTCAGGCTGATGGGTTGTTGGATGTTGGGATGCCGTGTCCCCTTTCACCCCTGAATCCCACAGAGTGGTGGGGCTGAGGGGTTGCTGGCTGTTGGGAAAAAACGTCCCAGCTGCTGGGAGCAGGTCCTGGCTGGTGGGCCCTGGGGCAGTGCTGGGTGTTCCCAGCTCCCTGGGATGAGCTGCAGACACTCACTCGTTCCACAGCCCCAGGGCAGCTCTGGAGCTGCGTGTGTGCAGGCAGGGGAAGCTCTGAGCCATGACTGAGTCACTGGAGCCTGGTGAGGGGATGGGGAGCACGTAGCACCCATGGCCTCATCTCCACATCCCTGGGCTGTGGGGCAGAGCTGTGGGGCAGAGCTGTGGGTCTGTGGCTTCACCTCCAAACCCCTGGGCTGTGGGGCAGAGCTGCCACCCCCTGTGGCAGCTGGGGCAGCACGGGCAGGATCAGTGCCTGGATCCCATCCCCCTGGCCCTGCCTCCAAGCCCAGGAATTGTGATTATCTGCTCCAAGATCTGATCTGCTGCATTTCCCAGCTCCAGTCTGGCAGGTTGGACAGCTGGGAATCTGGAAATGCAGCAGAGGCAGGTGCAGCACTCCGGGTGCTTGGGGCAGTCACTCCAGGCTCTGTGGGAGTCACAGGAGTCACATTCAGGAGGCTGGCACTGCCACAGGGCCATGCCAGCTGTGCAGGGTGCTGTGGCACTGTGGGGCCATGCCAGCTGTGCAGGGGGTGCTGTGGCACTGCCACAGGGCCATGCCAGCTGTGCAGGGTGCTGTGGCACTGCCACAGGGCCATGCCAGCTGTGCAGGGGGTGCTGTGGCACTGCCACAGGGCCATGCCAGCTGTGCAGGGTGCTGTGGCACTGTGGGGCCATGCCAGCTGTGCAGGGTGTGCTCTAGCATCAGGAAGGGGCACCCCCTCTTTGGGAGCAGCCCAGAACCAGATGAGGGCATGTGAGAGTGATGGGTCGTGCTCAGCAAAGTGTCACCCTGAGGTGGGACAGGGAGTGTGGAGGGACACCGAGGTGCCCACAGGACTGGTGGCTTTTCCCTGGGGACCGCCCCACGGGGACACTGAACCCCCCCAGCTGATGGGCACGGAGTGAAGCAGGAGGGGCTGGGAGCCTTGAGCACTCAGAGGGATCCCCGGAAAAACCAGGGCAGGGCCTCTCCCATCTGCAGGGATCTCCTCCTCCCCTGGGGTTATGGAAACACCTGGCTGGGGCACAGAGGCTGCTCAGCGGCTCCATGAGCACAGGGGTGAGCGAGGGTGAGCGTGCCCCGGGGCCAGGGAGCTGCAGCCAGCACAGCAACGCTGATGCCTCAGCCCAGACCAGCACCTGCACGCTGGGCTCTGCACAAAACTGCCCCAAAACTGCCTCGTCTGCTCTTCTTAATGATGGTTAATTATGGTCAGAGCCACCCAGCGTGCTCCTGCCCTGCCCCAGCCCGAAGTAGGGCAGGGAAGAAGTAGGTCAGGAGGGTGCTGAGGAGGAGATTGCACCATCCTGGCTGTGCTGGCAGCTGGGCTGGGCAGAGCTGCTGCAGCCCAGGCAGGGCAGGGCTCTGTGCCCCATGGTGCCCGGGGTGCTCAGCACCGTGTCAATCCCACCACAGCAGGGCAGGGTTCTGCTGGAGCTCAGCACATCCTTCTGGGTGTCCAGAGACCCTGGCATGCAGCCCAGAACACCTGGGGATTTGATTTTGAACCTTGCAGCAAGTTGCCAGCTTTGTATGAGGATGTGAAAGTCACACAGGCTTGAACGGTGTAATAACAAAATGATCACAGGGTGAAAATGCAGATTTTAGGATTTTTGGTGTGGGGGTTATGGGGACAAGATGGAGGAATCAGGGCGTGTCCAGCCTTTCTTTCTTCTTCTTGTTCTCCATTTTCTGCAGTGCTGTTGGCACTTTGGGATTGGTTTAGAGTAGAGGTTCACTGTCTAACATAGGTGATAGGCATTGGGGATTAAGTGTAAATATGTTATATGTAGTTTGTAGTATAAAAGGACAACACAGAGTGCCTGCGGCTGCCCTGCTGAGCAGATCTCGGCTGGGCAGAAAGAAAATTTTATAGATAAGAATTAATAAACAACCTCAAGACCGAAAAGTGAAGAGTCCAGACTCATTCTTCAGTTGCATGGGCTGAAGCAGAGACATCCTGCCCATCTCAGAGCAGCAATTAACAACCAAAACCCGAGACCTGGGCACCAGGGGCTGCTGGCACTGGCATGGAGACCCCTGGGTAGCACTTTCTGCAGAGGGCGACTGACCTGCTGCTGCCTTCCTACTGCCCAGGGCTTCAGTGCCCTGCTCCCCCTGCCCCTGCCCACATCCTGGCTCAGTCTGGGGGTGGCAGGGCTGTGGAGCCAGGGCCAGGGCTGGGTTCAGCCTTTCCAGCTGCTGGGAGCTCTCTTGGGAGAGATGAGGTTGGGGGGGACCCTCCAGGGGTGCTCACTCCTTGCTCTGATGGCTGTCCCCTCTCTCCCCAGCATCCTGGACATCTTCCCCACGCTGGTGGCCCTGGCTGGGGCAGCGCTGCCCCCAAACAGGCGCTTTGATGGCTTGGATGTGTCCCCAGTTCTCTTTGGCTGGTCGGATGTGGGGCACAAGGTAAGGCAGAGCCACCCCTGGTGTCACCCCCTCCTGGCAGCAGGTGAAACAGGTGAGTGGTGCCTTGGTTGGAACAGCCAGGTGTGTGCTGAGGAGGGCAGAAACGGAAATTTCCGCTTCATTGAAATGGAAAATGCAAAACCCACCCCTCTGAATTATGATAATTTTGAAATTAAGTGGCTCTCAGGCAAAGATATGGGAGCAGGAATAACAGTTCTTTATTAGGGAAATTAAAAATACAAATGTAATAGTACAAAAAAGAGAAAATAAACCACTGTCAGAGTGAGACCATGCCCTGCCCCCTGTGTGCCAGGGCGGTGTCCCAGCCCCATGCCACGGGGGCTCAGCCCTCCTGAAGTGCCAGCTGTGGCTCTGCTGCAGCAGGGATCCTGCACAAGGGGGGAGTTTTGCTCTGCAGCTCCAGGGCTGCTGGAGATGGGCCTGGGCTCCCTCTGGCCATGCAGGGCAGCAGAAAGCTGCTCCTCTGGGAATGCAGGGGGCAAAGGCTGCTGGAGTGTCCCAAAGCTCAGATTGGATCCAGGCGGGAATGCTTGGCTCCTCCCCTGGGCGGAGCATCTCCCCATGGGATGCTGGGATTCGATCAGCCCTGCAGGGACACTCACTGGCCCTAAAGGGCTTTGGGTTAATGAAAATTGTTTTGTGCTTCGTTCACAAACCTGGGATCAGAGGTGGAAATGTCTGTGCCTGCAGTTTGGCACCTTCCTAGAGCTGTGTCTGTGACCTGACAATTCACACACAATTCTGTCATTCACATCAATAAATCCCCCTCTAGCAAACCACCCATCGCTCCAAGCACTGCCCCCTGAACCTGACCATGAACTTCAGCTTCTTTGACCAATTTTCAAGCCCATCCCTCCTAGGAACCCCACTAATCCTCATCTCAATGACATTCCCAGCTCTCCTACTGCCCTCCCTAGACAACTGATGAATTACTAACCAACTTTCAACCCTCCAACTATGGTTTGTTAACCTAGTTACAAAACAAATAATAATGCCCCTAGACAGAAAAGGAGCCAGGGACACCAGCTGGGGGTGCTCAGGCTCGTGGCAGCCTGCAGTGCCCAGCACAGCACCTGCCTGGCCCCAAAAGGAGCATCAGTGTGGGCAAGGGCAGCTCCAGGGCTTCAAACTTGGTTATCCCCACTTATTTATTGCACCACATTGAGACACAACAAACTTGTGCCTTGATCAAACACAAACACAAAATTCGTTCCATCAGGACAGCCCACCCCATATCCCACAGCTCCATTCACCCCAAAAAACGCAGTTTGCAGGACAAGCAGGGTGACCACACTTTTGTCTCGGAGTTGCACAAGATTTTTGCAGAACCAATTAAAAAAAAAGAAAAGTGGCTTCAATAGCAGTCCCGTGGATAAACCCTGATTTTGCTTTTAAAGTACACCCTCTGCAAGCGCTGTGAGCCAGCTCCCAGCGGGATCCTGGATTTGTTTCGGTGTCCATCAGGGCTTTGGTATTTGCTTTGTATTTATGGAACCCTCTGCTGAACTGGGAGATGGAGCAGGGAAGGGGATGGGATGGGGCCAGCACGCTCTGCTCTGCTCTGCTCCTCAGATTAACCCTGCTGGGAGCAGGGCACTGGGGCTGCTGGGAGCAGTGGCTTGCTGGGAATGAGCCTTTCCAGGCAATGAGATTTTCCTGGGAGCAATGGCTTCCTGGGAGCAATGGTTTGCTGAGAATGAGGTTTTCCTGGGAGCAATGGTTTGCTGGGAATGGTGGTTTGCTGGTAGTGGTGTTTTTTTGGGAATGATGGTTTGCTGGGAGCAATGGTTTGCTGATACTGGTGGCTTTTTGGGAGTGATGGTTTTCTGAGAGCAGTGGTTTACTGGGAATGATGGTTTGCTGGGAATGAGGTTTTCCTGGGAATAATGGTTTGTTGGGAGCAATGGGAGCAATGGTTTGCTGATAGTGGTGGCTTATTGGGGATGATTGTTTGCTGGGAGCAATGGTTTACTGGGAATGAGGTTTTCCTGGGAGCAATGGTTTGCTGATAGTGGTGGTGTTTTTGGGAATGCTGGTTTGCTGATAGTGGTGTTGTTTTGGGTATGACGGTTTGCTGGGTGCAATGGTTTGCTGGGAATGATGCTTTGCTGATAGTGGTGTTGTTTTCAGGAATGATGGTTTTTTGGGAGCAATAGTTTGCTGAGAATGACGCTTTGAGGATGATGGTTTGCTGGGAGCAGTGGTTTACTGGGAATGATGGTTTGCTGGGAGCAATGCTTTTCTGATATTGGTGGGTTTTTATGGAATGATGGTTTGCTGGGATCAATGGTTTGCTGGGAACGAGGCTTTCCTGGGAGCAATGGTTTACTGGGAATGATGCTTTGCTGATAGTGATGGTTTTTTGGGAATGATGGTTTGCTGGGAGCAGTGGTTTACTGGGAATGATGGTTTGCTGGGAGCAATGGTTTTCTGGGTGTCAGTGTGCAGCCATTCATTCCTGTATGGGTCTCCCCACAAGGGCTGGGATCACTCTGCCATGGGGTGGGCTGCCCTCAGAGGGTCCCACAGCCCCGTGGGGTGGGGGAGCAGCCATGTCCCCCTCCTGTCCCCTCCTGTCCCCTTGTGTCCCATCCCCTGCCCGTGAGTGGCCGGCAGTGACCCCGTGCAGGGTTTGCCCTGACACAAATCCTCCTGAAAGCAGCTCCGTGCTCACTCCAATGCCCAATTTCCACACTTTGCTAATTGGGGTGGCTGGAGCTCCCCGTGTGGGCTGTCCCAGTGTCCCAGCCTGTGCTTGCTGCTGGCACGGGCAGCAATGGGGCTGGGGTGACACCGAGGTCCTGCTGAGAGCAAGGGCTGTTGGCAGGAGAAATAAACCACATCCTCCAAGGAGCACCGAGGGTACCAGGGCTGTAAATCCCCCTGTCCATCAGCTCAGTGTGAATAGCCCAGAGCACCAAGTTCAAGCAATGAATTTACAGCAGAGAAAAGGCTTCCCCCCCACCCCTGCTTCTCTATTTTTTATTTATTAAAATAATAGCCATGGATTATTGGAAGAGTTCCAGATCTGGGAATGTTTCTTGAGTCAAAACAAGCTCCTTAATTATGCAGTAAATTATAACAGATTTTCTAAGTGTGGGGTTTTAAGAGGTTTAGGAACGTGGTTGTTTGCAGGAAGGGAGATTTGAGTGCCCTTGGCAGCGTCCCAGCTGTGCTGTTAAAGGTGCAGGCAAAGCTTTGAGGCTGGAGACAGATTAATTGGTTCAGCTCCTGGTCCCTTGGCTTCACAGGGCCTTGAATATTTGCTGATTCCTGCTTTGGAGCTCTTTTATCCTGCCCAAGGAGTGTCAGCAGAAGGGCACTCTGCAGCAGAGCTTCCTCCTTGCACCAGGCTCACACTGCACCACCTCCTCCTCTTCACACCCTTCTTATTTTCCCCCAAAAACACAAAAAGATCCAACCAAATTACAAAAGGTGATTTTATAACAAATAATTTACCTTACAACTGAGAGCAATAAAAGAAAGTGAGAGCATTTGGAGATCACCCCCTACCCTGAATCCTGGCATTTCTTGGATGAGGTTCCAACCAGCCCCGTGTGAGACAGTGGCTACATCCAGACCAGGCAGCGTGGGGTGGACACCTCGGGGTGCCTGGGATGGACATTTTGGGGTGCCCAGGGTAACAGGAATTCCCTGTGCCAGGCAGGGTGGGATGGATATCTTGGGGTGTCCATTGATGCTCCATTCTGGACAATGTGGGATGGACATTTTGGGGTGCCCAGGGTGTCTCTGTGCCAGGCAGTGTGGATGGACATCTCAGGGTGCCCATTGGTGCTCTGATCTGGACAACATGGGATGGACATCTTGGGGTGCCCAGAGTACCTGGAATTCTCTGTGCCAAACAGGGTGGGATGCACACCTCGGGGTGCCAGGAATTCCCTGTGCCAGGCAGGGTGGGATGGACATTTTGGGGTGCCCAGGGTGCCAGGAATTCCCTGTGCCAGGCAGGGTGGGATGGACATTTTGGGGTGCCCAGGGTGCCTGGAATTCCCTGTGCCAGGCAGGGTGGGATGCACACCTCGGGGTGCCCAGGGTGCCAGGAATTCCCTGTGCCACACCTCGGGGTGCCCAGGGTGCTCCCTGAGGGGCAGGGCTCCGTGCCGGGCACCTGCTCAGGCACTGCTGCGCTCATCAGCTGTGAGTGCTGTTACTAAACTTGGCACTGCAGCTGCCTACAACTCCAGCAGATGTTTCTAATTTTTCAGCACAGTGGAAATTTCTTGAATCACTTTTTAAACTCAAATCCCAGGGAGGAAACCTCAAGTGACTCATCCCTCAGCGAAGCTCTGGCTCCGCGGCAGATGTTATCGGAGAGAGGAGCTGCTGGAGCGTCCAGCTCACTTGTCTCCTCGCTCCCCAGTGCCAGAGCAGCCCTCCTGTGTGGATCAAGTGTCCTAAATACCAAAGGGGAGAGATCTGAGCCTTCCCTCCCTCCTTCCCTCGCTGCTCACCCCGTTCCTGGCTGTTGCCAGGGAAGGGAGCCCCTGCACAGCGGGGTGAGTCAGACGGACGGGAGGGATGTGGGAGGGATGTTCCAGCACCTCACCTTCCCCTCTGCTCCATGAGCTCACCCTCAGCTCGTGGCTGCCTGCTGGCTCCAGCCTGGGGCTCGGCTCCCTTGGATGTCCCCGCTGCTGGCTGAGCTGTGAGCACCCAGGGAGGTGCTGGGTGCACCTGAGACCATCCTGGTTCCCAAATAATTTAGTGATGGGACAGGGGGGAATGGTTTTACAGTAAAGGATGGAGAGTTAGATTGGATGTTAGGAAGAAATTCTTAATTTTAAGGGTGGAGAGGCCCTGGCACAGGTTATCCCAAGAAGCTTCCTATCCCTGAAGTGTCCAAGGCCAGGTTGGATGGAGCTTGGAGCAGCCCAGGACAGTGGAAGGTGTCCCTGCCCGTGGGCTTTGGGGTCCCTTCCAACCCAAACCATTCTGTGATTTTATGATAATCTGCCCTGCTCTGCTGAAAGCCCCAGAGCCTTTGTGATCCCTTTCCTGCCACAAAACTGGGAGGTAAATTCAGAGGGTCCTGCAGGGCCAGGAAAGTCCCAGGGAGATGTTGGTGTTTCCTGGGGCCCTTGTGCCATCATCCCACTGTGGTGGTTCCAGACTGAAACCGGGCAGAAACACCAATTTCATGTAGTGGTTTCAGTTCACCAGTTTGAGATTTCCCAGTCAATGCACCAGTTAATGTGGTGGGTTCAGTGTTGGCTAAATTCAGAATTATTTACTCATTTTCTTGCTGTGACACAGAATCAGGAGGAAGGCACAGCAGCTTCAGCGCTCACAGCTCTGCTGTTGCTCAGAGCCCAGGGCCTCAGTGACGGCTGTGAATGTGTCCGGGGTGGGATGTGGCTCATGTGGGCAGGGAGTGGATTTCATGGGGCACGTTTTCCCTGCCATGGGCTGACAGGAACTGTCCTTGTCCTGTCCTTCCTGCAGGTTCTGCTGCACCCCAACAGCGGCGCGGCGGGGAAGGTGGGCGAGGTCGAGGCGCTGCGGCTGCATCAGTACAAGGCCTTCTACACCACAGGTACTGCATCCCTGCCAGAGGGTCTGAAGTGTAGGGAAAGGCTTCTGGAATTCTCAGATACCTGCAGATGCAGGTGAAAACCAGCTCAGGTTAATTCAGACCCAAGGATGTGCTGAGCTGTGTCTGCAGGGTGGTGCTGCAGCCTGGGGCTGTGACAGTGCTCACAGGGGTCTGAGGATGAGGGAAGAGATGAGGATCTGACTCCATGTTTCAGAAGGCTTGATTTATTATTTAATGATATACATTACATTAAAACTATACTAAAAGAATAGAAGAAAAGGTTTCATCAGAAGGTTAGAAAGGAAAGAATGATAACAAAGGTTTGTGGCTCGGGCCCTGTGTTCAAGCCAGCTGACTGTGATTGGCCATTAATTAGAAACAACCCCATGAGACCAATCACAGATGCACCTGTTGCATTCCACAGCAGCAGATAATCATTGTTTGCATTTTGTTCCTGAGGCTTCTCAGCTTCTCAGGAGGAAAAAACCCTAAGGAAAGGATTTTTCATGAAAAGATGTCTGCGACAGGGTTGGTCTCGGGAATAGGAGCTGGGATGGGGTGGGAATGAATGGGCCATCCTGGGTGGGTGAGGAATACAGAGGTGATCCCTGGACCTCTGTGACTCCAGGCTTTTCTCTCATTTCCTCCCCAGGAGGGGCCTTGGCCTGTGATGGCAGCACTGGGCCGGCACAGCAGCACCACCCACCCCTCATTTTCAACCTGGCCCGTGACATCCAGGAGCAGGAGCCTCTGGATGTGGCCTCCAGGGAGTACCAGGCAGTGCTGCCTGCCATCAGCAGGGCTTATGCCCAAGCCCTGCAGGACATTGCAGCAGACAATGTCTCAGTTGCAGATTATTCCCAGGATCCAGCTGCAATTCCCTGCTGCAACGTGCAGCACGTGGGCTGCCGGTGCCACGGGGCCACGCGGGATCCCCACGTGGAAAGCACAACACCCTGGCTTTGTCTTTAGGCAAATAATTGCTCAGGCTGCTCCTTTCCCAAGGGTGGTGTCTGTGAAATCCAGGCTGGAGGTGGGATGGAGGCTGTGGTTCCCTGTGCTCCGTGCTGGGAGGAGGGAGGTGAGCTGGGTGTGGGTCTGGGGGAGCACACAGAGGGTCCCCTTTGAAGGCTTTTTGTAGGGCTCTGTATCTGGGAAAGAGAGAACTCTTGGATTAAAATTACCTTCTGTGAGAGTCGGCTTTGGGAGAGGATTCCTCTGGGAAATTTGCTTGGTTTTCCTCTAAACAGGAACAGGAACCTTACAGGAGCAGCTGTGGGAGCACAAGGCAGGGGAGGATGGGGCTCAATCAGCCCTTCTGCTGCACAGACCCTGCAAGCTTGGTGGCTGCAGAGGGACAATTCCTGGCTGGCACGAGGGGAGTGCTCTGGGAAGGGAGCAGCTGCCCCTCAGCTGCCTGCTGGGCTTCTTCAGAGGGGTCATGGCAGGACCCAGCTGGCTGTGGAGGGAAGGAAGGGGGTCCTGGGCTGTCCATCCATGTGGGAAGGATGCTCAGCTTGTCCTGCCAGGGGGGAGCTCAGGGTTGTGCTGGGACATCCAAGGGTTTGGGAGAGAACTGGGGCTGTCCCCAGCAGCTCTCAGCAAAGAGAGGGGTGTAACTGTGGGGTTTTGGGAGGTCAGGGTTCCTGCTCTGGGGTCTCCCAGCAGATCAGGGCTCCAGGCAGAGGAGCTGCTGCCCATCCCAGTGCAGGCACAGATGGAGTGGAACAGCTCCTGTGGGGCCATTCCTGGGCAGGTGCAAAGGGCTGGGGAGCTGCAAAGGCAGAAATGAAGGTGCAACTGAAACCTGAGAAACCACTGGGATTTCTCAGCAGCTGAGTGAGGGTGTTCTGAAACCATTCTGGATTCTGATTTACACACCCAGATCTTTCTTTGGCCATAAGAAGACTTGTGTGGACTCACCCAGGTGTGCTGCCCTCACCCCAGCCCCCAAAACCCCTCCCACTCCCCAAACTTAATCCAGACTGACACCTTTAGGGCCCCAAAAAGAACAGCAGGAGCTGCCAGGGACAGACTGTGACTTTATTCTGTCTTTCAACATAGCAAATGGCATCTTCTCTAATATCACTGCAAAAATACTTTGCCTGGGTTAAAATAGTCTGTATATACTGTACAAAGACATAAGTTTAATATCTCTTCCTATAAGTACATTTATACACATAAAACAGCATAAATTAGAAAAGGGGACAAATGGGTATATAAAATTCTGGTTACATACAAATCTGATTAAATTAGCATTTACACTGTGGTTCTAACATAGAGTTTGTTAAATAGAGCCATGTGCATACAGTACATTGACACCCCACCCAGACACAAATTAAAACAGGGGCTAACAGGGCCAGGTGTTCACTTACACACAGCAAAAAGCCTGGCCCAACCTTAATTTCTATATATTTTTTCTCATCTTGGGGACTCACAGATCTGTTCTTGGAAACTCCTGGCTTTTCCAGCAGCTGTCCCAAGCGTGGCTGTTTTGCTTCTCCTCACGACCTCTTGGCCTTGCCCGGCTGACCTCCACGGCACAGGATTATCTACCAAAATCAAAACACAAGGGCCTTACTTTTCCCAGCACCAGGGAGCTTTTCCAGTTGGTTTTACGCACATGGGAGGAGCAGGGGGAGGGATGTCCCGCAGTGTTTTACTTTCCATTCAAAGGCACATTGGGGAGAGGTTTATTTATTTGCTCTCCCCCTCCCCAAATTGACAGTCCTGGGAACAGGAACCATCTGGATCAGTGATAAGGGGGTCTGGCCTCTGGCTGGTGCTGGGCTCAGCAGAGCCAGGCTTTGGGGAGTGCATTTGCCTCACTAAGTGATCCCAAAAAGCTCAGCTCTGGTGTGGCTGGAGGGACAGGTTTGTGCTGGGCATCCCTGCATTGCTCTGGGGTCTCTGGATGGATGCCAGAGTTCAACTCCAACATGTCAGACAGGATTAGGGGAGGGAAAGCTCAGCCTAAACACCAGCAAAGCCTCTGAGTGAAAGAGTAAAGCAGGAGCAGAGAAGAAGAGGCAGCAGCAGCCCCTGATTCACCTCCACCAGCTACTCCTGCCACAGAGATCCTGGTGAAATGTGCCCCTGCTCCTGAGGGGGCCTGGGCAGCCCTGGCACAGATCTGTCCCAGCTCCAGCCCTGCCAGACATGGCCTGGAAGGGATGAGAACCCCACAGCTCCTGCTGCAGAGGGTCTCTGGAAGGGATGTGAACCCCACAGCCTCACAGACATGGAAGGGATGTGAACCCCACAGCCTCACAGACATGGAAGGGATGAGAACCCCACAGCCTCACAGACATGGAAGGGATGTGAACCCCACAGCCTCACAGACATGGAAGGGATGTGAACCCCACAATCCTGCTGCAGGTCTCTGGAAGGGATGTGAACCCACAGCTCCTGCTGCACAAGCTCTCTGCCAGCTCCTCCTCCCAGGTCTGCCTCTCCACGAGCTGCAGGACCATCACTGGCCAGGTTTCCAGGCACAGGCATTGACACTGGATGGCACAACTCCCAGGGGACCTCAGATAATGTACTGATAAGCTGGGCTTAATCCTGCAAGGCCCAGCTGCCCAAAATGCCACTCTGAGCTACAAGGGCAGGAGCCAGGCTCTGCCAAGCTCCCTCATGCCCTATGACACATAATTACAAGCAGAGCCTCAGTGGAAAGTCTGTGGCCTTTCCTCTGCCACCAGCCAGCTGTTAAAAAATAATCACTTAAAATAATTAAGTGTCTATATCCATGCAACAGCATGAGGGAAACACCATCCAGCAAAGAGCCAGGAGGAATCTGGGCCAATACTGCTTCCACAGAGCCAGAGATGTATCTGCAGCCTGGTTGTATCAAGATCTGTGGTCTGGAGCAGCAGAGGGGTGTGGGGACTCCATGACAGGGCACTGATTTCTGCCCTGTTGTAGATTTTTGCCCTCCAACAGGCAGCAGCAATCTTTGGCAGCGCAGGAAAGTGCCCAAACTGTTTTGGAGCTGCCAAAAACTGATGGGAAAGAGATGGTTTTTAAGAGTGATGGAGTATCAGTGAGGGGGAGCTGCCTTTGAAGAGCTGATTGCTGTCTCACTTGACATAATGAAATGGCTCTCCTGATAAAAGCTACACCTCTGGGCCCTGCAGCCAAATGCAGGATGGATCACCTCTGCCTGGAAAGCACTGACCAACCTGCTGGAATAAACCATCCTTCTACTGAACCCCAGGAGTTTTGGGCAGATCCCCTGGCTGCACTCCCCAGCTGCTTGCAGAATCCTGTAGGATTTCTTTTGCCAAACCTCACTGCAGTGCCCTGCCTGGCCCATAACACACCCCAGCATCTCCCTGCACCACTGGAAACCTCACTCCCTGCTACACGCACAGAACAGGGGTGGCTGCTCAGGCAGGTGAGCAGAAAACAGCTCAAACTGCCAAAGTTTTGCAGCCAGAGCTGGTTTTGCTTTTCCTACCCTGTAAAATCTCTGCAGGCTCCTCCCTGCACATCCAGCACAGCACCCATGGCTCCAGTCCCCTTCAGTAACACCTGAGTCCTTCCTGCCCAAAACCAGCAGTGACTTGGGAGTGCTTAATCCACCCCAACCATGCAGGGATTGTCACTGAACTGGTTTAACCTCCTTCTGCAATCCTGGCACCAGCAGCAGCAACATCCACGTCCCCTCTAGTGAGGCCACTTTTTATGAGTCCTCCTTGGGCTCCTCATCTCCTCTCTGATCTGTCCCTCCTTCCACTTAATGAACAGGCAGTGTTTGACAGATTTTATGTCAGGCTGAGGCTGGTTTTCCTCAGTCTTTAACAGCAGAGCCTCTGAAGTCTTGCTTGAGGTCAAGGGAAGACAAGAGGTTTCAAAATGAGGAGAAACTGTGGGGTTTGAGCACTGCTGTTTCTCCAGAACCATGTCTGAGTTCAAAGCCATACCGTGGGCTGCGGGTGAATATTCCATTTTGTCACAAGTTTTGAGGTTTTGAAAAGTCTTTTTGTTGCACACTGGAAAACAAACAAAACCCTTCCCATGTTTCCGCAAAGCCGAACGCTGTCAAAACATTTTTGTTGGATAAGGTCAGGTTTTTCTCCCCCTCCTCCTCTGCACAGGAGTGACCGAGGCCTGAAACCCCCTTGACTGGGACTGGAGATCTCAAGTGCTGAGAAAACAGCCAAGTTCAGTGAAATCCAGAGCATCCAAACATCCTGAGTGCTCCCACTGCGAGGGCAAACCCCAAAGCAGGAGCGGGGGCTTTATCTGGAAGCTCCACTTGCTCAGGCACCGTTATCAGGGAGTATTTTTGGAAAGCACCTTCCCTTCCCACACCTCCTCCTCCTCCCTAACAATACACATGTCACTGCTCTGTCAGGTTAATGACAGGATTTGGAGGGATCAAAGTTCATTTCACAAAGCACCTGCTGTGCTGCAGCAGGGGTTTGGGGCTGCTTTCATCCAGCACAGCCCCAGCAGGAAGCCTCATTCAGGAGCAGCGTGATCCCTGCCTGCTGGCATTTGCTTGTCCCCAAACCATGAGTTCAAGAGCAGGTTTAGCAGAAGGAAACAAAGGATTTCTCTCTGTCCCTGCTGCTCCTTCCAGGGGCCTGGGCCATCACCTTCTCTGTGGGCACAGCGAGGGAGACATTTGAAATATCCTTCTTGAGTAATGGAGTTGGACAAGTGGGAAATTCCTGCTCCCAGTTTGCAGCAGGGAATGGTGCAGGTAAGGAAAGAAATAATCTGAGGGTTGTGTGAGTTGAGCTGGGTTTAGGTGGTGCTGGCTCAAAGGGAGTCATGAGCCAGGCTCCTTTTATCTAAGTAACACTTTGCCTCAGCTCAGAGGAAGGTGCCTCACAGAGGTCAGCTCAGCACATGGAATGAATCCTGGAATAAGGTTTGTACTTCCTCCTTTTCAGGCAAAACTCCAGCAGCAGGATATGTAAAAATGAAGTAAGGAATTCCAGAAGCCTGCCAAGGCTGCAACCTGAAATCCATTACAGTATTCTGCTGCATTACTGCTATGAAGACACCGCTGATTACAACCAGATCATAGCACAGACCAACATTTGTCCAATTAGGGGTTAGATACTTAATTAATGAGTGTGGAATAGGAAAAGGAGCCAGAAAGACACTGCCAGGCTGAAGTCAGATTGAAAAATCC